TTTTATATAATATAATGAAAGAGGGATTCGAACCCCCGACACTTGGATTATGATTCCAACGTTCTAACCAACTGAACTATTTCATTTTGTTCCAGCTACACGTTCCCGTACAGCTACCTTGTTACGACTTCATCCAAATTATTAATTTCGCAATGGTTTTCAACAAATTAAAAATCGAATTTTTAATATTGAAACGAAAACTTCAAGTAAAATTAACTCTCTGCATGTGACGGGCGGTGTGTACAAGGCCAAGATACATATTCACCGCAACATGCTGATTTGCGATTACTAGTGATTCCAACTTCATACAAACGAGTTGCAGTTTGTAATCCGAACTAAGGAAACTTTTAAAGATTAACTTAAATAAAATTTTTGTAACTTATTGTAATTTCCATTGTAGCACGTGTGTAGCCCAACCCATAAGGGCCACAGGGACTTGACTTGATTCTCACCTTCCTTCAATTTATCATTGATAGTGTCATATAAAGCTTTAAAAAATAAAAATTATTTTAAAAAGTAAAATACGTGATAAAGACAAGAGTTGCGCTCGTTAAAGGAATGAACCAAACATCTTACGACACGAGCTGACGACAGTCGTGCAACACCTGTAAAAAACATAACAATTTTAAGGATTTAAAAAAACTAAAATTGTTTATTTTCTATGTCAAGGGTTGGTAAGGTTTTGCGCGGATTATCGCATTAAACCACATGCTCCACCACTTGTTGTAGGCCCCCGTCAATTCCTTTGAGTTCCAATCTTGCGACCGTACTCCTCAGGCGGAGTGCTTATGGCGTTAGCTTAAAGAATCTAGCAAAATATTCACTAAATTACAGCACTCAGCATTTACAGTGTAGACTACCAGGGTATCTAATCCTGTTTGCTCCCTACACTTTCGTCCCTCAACGTCAGTTTTTGCCAAAGAGTCGCCTTCGCTACTGATATTCCTTCATGTGTCTGCAGTCGTTACTCCTCGACATGAAATTCTACTCTTCTGCACAAAACTCTAGTATAGTAGTATTAAATGCTTTTCTAGAGTTAAGCTCTAGGATTTAACAAATAACTTACAATACCGTCTACGAACCCTTTACGCCCAATTATTCCAGATAACGCTTGCCCCTCCCGTATTACCGCGGCTGCTGGCACGAGATTAGCCGGGACTAAAACTTCTTTTAATAATGTCATTATCATCTTAAACGAAAGAACTTTACAACCAAAATAGCCGTCATCATTCACATAGTATTGCTGGATCAAACTTGCGTTCATTGTCCAATATTCCTCACTGCTGGCTAAAAAATTAGCCTGGACCTTGTCTCAGTTCCAGTGTGGTTGATCGTCCTCTCAGACCAACTAAAGATCACAGGCTTGGGAGTCTTTTAAACAACCAACTACCTAATCTTACGCAAAAGTATCTTTTAACAAGTTATGTATTATAACTTTTTTTTAATATTAACTACAAAAGTTCTCAATTTAAAACAAAATAAAAATTGATTAGTTTTATCCTAAATTAAAAGGTAACAATTTTACGCGTTCCTCACCCGTTCGCTACGTAATACATAAAGTATCCGTTCAACTCGCATGTGTAAAGCATACTATTAGCGTTCATCTTGAGCCAGGATCAAACTCAAAAACAAATAATTTTTAAATAGTATTTATTTAAAAACTCTTTAATATTTAAATCTCTATGTTATAAAAACATTTTTTAAAGTCAAGCTATATAAAATTATAAGAAATTAGTACTTGTTTGCTAAAAACTTTACAGCTCTTACACATCAAGCCTATTAACGTAGTCTTCTACTACGTCTATTAAAAAATTAATCTCGAAGCCAGTTTCTCATTTAGATGCTTTCAATGATTATCTGTTATAAACTTAGCTACTCGACGATGCCATTGGTATGACAATCGATACACCATAGGTTTACTTTTCCCGGTCCTCTCGTACTAGGGTTTACTCTTCTCAATTTTTTAGCGCTTACGGTAGATAGGGACCAAACTGTCTCACGACGTTCTAAACTCAGATCATGTACCGCCTTCCTTGGCGAACAGCCAAACCCTTGGAACCACTTACAGCTCCAGGATGCGATAATCCAACATCGAGGTGCCAAACCACTCCGTCGATAGGGTCTCTAGAGAGTGATTAGCCTGTTATCCCCGGCGTACCTTTTATCCGTTGAGCGATGATCTTTTCCACACAGAATCACCGGATCACTATAACCGACTTTCGTCCCTGTTTGATTTGTCAATCTTACAGTCAAGCAAGCAATATACTATTACGCTCTACAATTAAAATTATTTAATTTGAACTTACCTTTGTGCGCCTCCGTTACTCTTTAGGAGGCGACCGCCCCAGTCAAACTACCCATTATGCAATGTCTTAAATAATAAGTAACAAAAACTTTTAAGAGTGGTATTTCACTGATATCTTTATAATTTACTTGCGTAAACATTTGAAAACGATTTCCCACATATGCTACACATAGAAGTTTTTGTTACAATACATAACTATAGTAAAGGTGCACGGGGTCTTTCCGTCTAGCCGTAAGTACTCCGCATCTTCACGGAGAATTCAATTTCACTGAGGTTGTGTTGGAGACAGTAGGACAGTCGTTACGCCATTCATGCAGGACACCAATTAAATGCCAAGGAATTTCGCTACCTTTGGACCGTCAGAGTTACAGCCGCCGTTTACTGGGATTTCTAGTCAAAGCCAAAACTTTTTCTATTATACTTGCAGCACCGGGCAGGCGTCAGTCTCTATACATCATATTACAACTTTGCAGAGACCTGTGGTTTTATTAACCAGTCGCTGTCCTCGATTTTGTGACAGCTTTTAAAGGTTGCCCTCTAAAAGCTACTCCTTCTCCCGAAGTTACGGAGTCATTTTGCCGAGTTCCTTCAACACAATTCACTCAAGCGCCTTAATTTACTCAATTTGTTCACCTGTGTCGGTTTACAGTACGGTTTTATTATTTGTAGAACTGTTTCCAGAAAACAATCAAAAACTTTTATTTAAACCTAAAAATAAAAATAATCTTCATGTTTTGTCATTACTACAAAAATATAAGAATTACTTATTTACCCATTAAAAAAAACTTTCGTTTTATTCTTAGGGACCGATTAACCCGAGACGGATTAGCCTTTTCTCGGAAACCTTGAACTTAAGGCGATAATGTTTTTCACATTATTTGTCGCTACTCATATCAACATTTTCAATTCTGATTTCTTCAATTTATGTCACCATAAATCTTCTTCGATTTACAGAACGTTCTGCTACCATTTAAAATATAAATCTATCGTTTCGGTAAATAGTTTTAGTCCATGTACATTTTCACCGCAAAAAATTTAGACCAGTGAGCTGTTACGCTTTCTTTAAAGGATGGCTGCTTCCAAGCCTACCTACCGGCTGTTTAAAATTCTTCACAATTTTTTCACTTAACTATTTTTGAGGACCTTAACGAATAGTCTGGGCTGTTTCCCTCTTGACTATGAATCTTAGCACTCATAGTCTGTCTGTTCAATGTCTTTTATTTTGTATTCGGAGTTTCATTAAATTCAGTAAAGCTTTACGCTCCCATCATTTATCGAGTGCTCTACCCCAAAATAAAGTAATTGAACGCTCTACTTAAATAGATTTCGCAGAAAACCAGCTATCTCTAAGTTTGATTGGCCTTTCACCCCTAACCACAAGTCATCCCAGTATTTTTCCACATACACGGGTTCGGTCCTCCAATAAGCGTTACCGCTGTAAATTCAACCTGCTCATGGTTAGATCACTTAGTTTCGGGTCTTATTTCAGAGACTTAAATGCTTTTTAAAACTTAATTTTTTTTCGCCTACACTTTCGCTTAAGCTCGCCACTAAAATAAACTCGTTGATCCATTATGCAAAAGGTACGTTGTCACTTTTGAATAAAAAGCTTCAACTGCTTGTCAGCATTAAATTTCAGTATTATTTCAGGTTTATTTTACTAAACTCTACTTTCACCTTTCCCTCACGGTACTAATACACTATCAATCATCAAAAATTCTAGACTTTGAGGGTGGGTCCCCAATCTTTAAACAACACACGACTTGTATTGTTTTACTAGAAAAATAACAATAAGCAATCTTTACAGGGCATTAACCTTCTATGGCTTTTTCAATTAAGAAACTTTTGATTGTTATTTTAAGTCTATATCGTGTTCGCTCGCCACTACTAACGACGTCTCGGTTGATTTTTTTGTTAGCTACTTAGATGGTTCAGTTCGCTAACTTTCAAAATTCTGCCAAAATACGTTTTGACAGAAAGCTTAATTTAAAAGCTCGGTTTTCCGACACGGAGATTTATCGTTCTCAGCACTTAATAGCACTCACAATAAAATTTCGTATAAAAACGTCCGCAATGTTTTTGATGTTTAGGCATTCATTTAATGCTTTACTTTTTATACAACTTGTTTTAAGGCGAATAACGGGATTTGAACCCGTGTCTCTTAGAATCACAACCTAATACTCTAACCAACTGAGTTATAATCGCCTATTATCTTAAACTTAAAAAATTAATCTACTGTGATAATTTAAGTTTAATCTTTATTTTTGTTAGGAGTAAGACTTGAACTTACAACCTCTGGGGCATGAGCCCAGTGAGCTACCAATTGCTCTATCCTAACTTATAAGGTTTAACAAATATTAATCCCATTCTAATGCGCCAATGTACCATACATAAACAAAGCCCACACCTAATTCGATGATAAAATCAATCATTGACCAAAAACCTAGAGTACTTAATTGAGAAATGTTAACACTCCAAGGTAGTAAAAACATAGCTTCGATATCGAACAGAATAAATAAAATTGCCACAATATAGAATTTTACATCAAAAATATTTCGCGCGTCTTCATAAGGTTCAAAACCGCATTCATAAGAAGACAATTTTTCAGTGTCTGGGTTTTGAACCGAAAGCAAGTAAGATAAGCCTGTAATAATAAGAGCTAATACGATAGCAATTCCTAAAAAAATTAATACAGGTAAAAATTCAAAAAATAAAAACGAATAATTGTAATTATAAAACGATTGTAATTCGTATAACATATTAATATTTTGTAACATATATGTATCTAAGGAAAGAGTGGGATTCGAACCCACGGTGCAAATTAATGTTTACACAAAGATTTAGCAGATCTTCACTTTAAGCCACTCAGTCACCTTTCCAACCAACAAAAAATTTATATACGCTTCTCCTTTTGTTAGGAATATTTAATTAAATTTTTTGTAAAAATCCTTGAATTCAGAAATGATTTCAGATTTTAACATCTCCAACGGGATTTGAACCCGTGTTATTGCCGTGAAAGGGCAATGTCCTAACCACTAGACGATAGAGACCTTTTATAAAAATAAATAGCAAAACTTTTTTGTTAAAAATAGTAAAAGCGGCTTTTCCCTTCATAAAGGTCGAAAAAAATGTGTATTATTTTTTCGAACACTTTTTAAAAAACACAAATGCTAAAACAGTAGGTAATACTTTATTGATTCAATCTTCATAGTAAATGTTAAATACGAAATCTTCTTCATATAAATTATCGTAATGTAAACACGTTTTTGTAAACGTTTGAGAAAATGAATTTAAGATTAATTCAAAGCATTTATGTTTTCTAAACGATGTTTTTATACTTAAACCTAACATTTTCTAAAAAATTACATTAATTCCAAAATAAAACTGCCTGTTAACAGTGAATAGATTTAGATTGTGAAATAATTAAAAGTGGTCCAAATAAATTACTTTAACTTTTCCCTTCATAAAGGTCGAAAAAAATGTGAATTATTTTTTAATGTATTTTTTATTCAGTAGTAAAGTACAAATATTGTTTAAATTTTTAGACAATAATCTTGTTCGTTAATTTTAATATTATTGAAAATTTCATGAGGAGAAAAACTCATGAAATGTACATAGATAATTTAATTGTTTTATATAGTAAATTTGTAACTATTCTTAACAATTGTTAATTCATTATACAAATTAAAAAATATTTTGCAACAGACAAATAAGAAAAAACCACAAAAATTTGTGTAAGGTTCAAAAAATTTTAACGCACTTTGTACTTTACTACTGAATAAAAAATACATTAAAAAATAATTCACATTTTTTTCGACCTTTATGAAGGGAATAGAAGTATATAGGGGGGTATAATATATGTATTTAACTAAATAACGCAATATTTACTTGATTTAATAAGATAGTTTTATTTTAACAATGAATGTTTTTATATTCGTTCAACTTTTGTTAATTATAATTAATTCTATAATAGTATCTTAAATTCTGTATACTTTTCAAGTAGTTAATGAATTAATTGGTAATTTTTTTCGATACTTATTTCTGTAATTATTTCAAAAGAAAACTTATTTAAGTAAACGTAAATTTGAAGTCAAAAAACATTTGACATATTAGAAATAACGAAAGTACGATTAGATGACAGATTTTAGTTTAAGATTTATTCCAAAAATTAAATCAATAAAGTATTATCTACGGTTTTAGCATTTGTATTTTCTAAAAAGTGTTCAAAAAAATAATACACATTTTTTTCGACCTTTATGAAGGGAAAAGCCAAATGAACTTATTCTAAATATTTTTCTATCGTTTAAACTTAAGTTTGTTTAATAATGATGATAACTTTTTAATTTTGGAATTAGTACATATAATGCTTTTTTCAAAACGCTAAACCTAAGAATAACATTAAAAAAACATATATGATTTATAATTCTTCTATTTTTTGTGACAGCCCCGCTTTTTGGCAAACTTCTTTACAAGAACCTGCAAGTATTACAATGGAAGGTATTTTACTTTTTAACAAACATTTATTATTTTTGTTAACAGTAATTGTACTATTTGTTGCATGGTTACTAGCTTATACAATTTTTTATTTTGTAGAATTTAATAACAAGTATAATTCTAAATTCGTTCATTCAAAAGAACTAGAGATTGTATGGACAACAATTCCAGCATTAATTTTATTAATTCTTTCAACACCATCGTTTACATTGTTATATGCTATGGACGAAATTTCAGAACCAGAATTATCTCTTAAAATTTTAGGACATCAGTGGTTTTGGAGTTATGAAATTTCAGACTTTAATTCTTGTCAAAAACAAGAACAAAGTTTAAAATACGTTTGTTATATGATGGTTTTAGACGGACTACCTAAAACAAAACAAGGTTATTTCCGATTATTAGAAACAAACAAAAGAGTAATCTTACCAACAAACACACACTTACGATTACTTGTAAGTGCTGCTGACGTACTACATAGTTGGACAGTACCATCTTTTGGATTAAAAGTTGATGCGTGCCCAGGCAGACTAAATCAACTAAACTTATTTATTAAGCGAGTTGGTGTATTTTTTGGTCAATGTAGTGAAATTTGTGGTGTAAATCATGGATTTATGCCAATTGTGGTAGTATCACTTCCAACTTTAAAATTCCACCATTATATTATGACTAAATTAGAACTTGGTTAAATTTTAAAAATTTAAAGATATGACATTAAAAAAGAAAGATTTAAAAAAAAGAATCAAAAATTTTACTATCAATTTTGGGCCTCAACACCCTGCGGCTCATGGGGTTCTTAGACTTGTCTTAGAATTAAAAGGAGAAATCGTACACCGAGCTGATCCTCATATTGGTTTATTACATCGAGGTACTGAAAAACTTGTTGAGTATAAAAATTACTTACAGGCATTACCATATTTCGACCGATTAGACTATGTATCTATGATGTCTCAAGAACACACATTTTGTTTAGCTGTAGAGAAATTGCTTAACGCAAAAGTACCTCGACGAGCGCAATATATTCGAGTTCTATTTGCAGAAATTACTCGAATTTTAAATCACCTGTTAGCTGTAGGTTGTCATGCCATGGATGTTGGTGCTATGACTCCATTTTTATGGTCGTTTGAAGAACGAGAAAAATTAATGGAATTTTACGAGCGCGTTTCTGGAGCGCGAATGCATGCAGCTTATTTTAGACCCGGAGGCGTTTCTATGGATATCCCTGCAGGGTTGTTAAACGATATTTATTTATTCGTTGAACAATTTAATATTCGACTTCTAGAAGTAGAAGAGATGTTAACCGAAAACCGTATTTGGAAACAACGACTTGTAGATATAGGTGTTGTTACAGCTGAAGACGCACAAGCGTGGGGATTCAGTGGTGTTATGCTACGAGGTTCTGGTATCAATTGGGATTTAAGAAAAAGTCAACCGTATGAAGTTTATAATGAGGTAAACTTTGATGTACCTACAGGTACAAATGGTGACTGTTATGATCGATACCTAATTCGTGTTTTTGAGATGAAAGAGTCTTTAAAAATTATTGAACAGTGTTTAAATCAAATTCCATCTGGTATTATCAAAAGCAGTGATAACAAATTAACACCACCATCACGAAAAGATATAAAACAGTCTATGGAATCTTTAATTCACCATTTTAAAGTTTACACACAAGGTTTTGTTGTTCCTTTTAATGAAACATACACAGCTAGTGAGGCTCCAAAAGGCGAGTTTGGGGTTTATTTAGTTTCAAACAACACAAATCGACCGTATAGATGTAAAATTAAGGCTCCAGGTTTTGCACACTTACAGGCTTTAGACCATATGTCAAAAGGCCACTTAATTGCTGATGTTGTTACAATTATCGGAACACAAGATATTGTATTTGGTGAAGTAGACCGGTAACAGTAGTTTTTTTAATCAATTTTAAAAATTATACATGAAATTACATATCTTTTCAAATGGAAGCTGTACAACCAATTCCATGTTAAAAAACTCAAAATTAAATTTTAATATTAGTTTTCTTGAAAAAGATTTAAAAAATCTAGAATCTAGTTCAAAACCAAAATCTAATAAAAACACTACAACGCTAAACACATTAGCCGGCTACAGAAATAAATTATTTAAGTAAAAATGAAAAATCAAATTCAAAAAGATAAAAATAAACGAAGCTTAAACTTAAAGTTCGAAAATCAACGTATTATATTAAAAAGCATTATGCGAAACAGTAATTTATCAAAAACTATTCGGTGGAATTCAGAATTACAACTTGCCAAATTTAATTCTAACAGTCATAAAACACGTCTTGTAAATAGATGTATTTTAACAGGTCGAAATGGTAAAACACATTCAGCTTTTCGGTATTCAAGATTATCTTTTCTACGATTAGCACGAAATGGTTTTATTTCTGGTTTACGTAAGTCAGCTAGATAATTCAACAAACTATCATTTTTCTATGAATTATATATGTTATTAAATAGTTCAGCTTATAAATTTGTAACTCGATGGCTTTTTTCTACAAATCATAAAGATATCGGTACTTTATACCTTATTTTTGGTGCTATCTCTGGTGTAGCAGGTACTGCTTTATCTTTATATATCCGAATCACATTAGCTCAACCTAACGGTAGCTTTTTAGAGCATAATCATCAAATGTATAATGTTATTGTAACAGGACACGCGTTTGTTATGATTTTCTTCATGGTTATGCCAACATTAATTGGAGGTTTTGGTAACTGGTTTGTACCATTAATGATTGGTGCACCTGATATGGCATTCCCACGAATGAACAATATTAGTTTCTGGTTATTACCACCATCTCTTTTATTATTAATTGCTTCAATTTTATCTGAAGCAGGAGTAGGTACAGGTTGGACAGTGTACCCACCATTATCAAGTGGAACATCACACTCTGGAGGTGCTGTTGATTTAGCAATTTTCAGTTTACACTTGTCAGGTGCGTCTTCAATTTTAGGAGCAATTAACTTCATTTGTACAATTTTTAACATGCGTGTTAAAAGTTTATCATTCCATAAACTACCTTTATTCGTTTGGGCTGTTTTAATTACAGCGTTTTTATTATTGTTATCTTTACCTGTATTAGCAGGTGCAATCACAATGTTATTAACAGACCGAAACTTTAATACAACATTTTTTGATCCAGCAGGTGGAGGTGACCCTGTACTATACCAACACTTATTCTGGTTCTTTGGACACCCAGAAGTTTATATTTTAATTTTACCAGGATTTGGTATTATTAGTCATATTATTGTTAGTGCAGCAAGAAAACCAATTTTTGGTTACTTAGGTATGGTTTATGCTATGTTCTCTATTGGTGTACTTGGTTTTATCGTGTGGGCTCACCACATGTATACTGTAGGTCTTGATATTGATACACGAGCTTACTTTACAGCAGCAACAATGATTATTGCTATTCCAACAGGTATTAAAATTTTTAGCTGGTTAGCTACTTTATGGGGTGGTTCTATTGATATGAGAACTCCAGCTTTATTCGCTGTTGGTTTCATTTTTCTATTTACAGTAGGAGGTGTTACAGGAGTTGTGTTAGCTAACTCAGGTATTGATATTGCACTACACGATACATATTATGTGGTAGCTCATTTCCATTATGTATTATCAATGGGTGCGGTATTCTCAATGTTAGGCGGTATTTATTTCTGGTTTGATAAACTAACAGGAGTTAAGTACTCTGAAATTTTAGGTAAGATTCACTTTTGGGGTTTCTTCGTAGGTGTAAACTTAACATTCTTCCCAATGCACTTCTTAGGTGTTGCAGGTATGCCTCGACGAATTCCTGATTACCCAGATGCTTTCTATCACTTTAACGCATTAGCTTCTTGGGGATCTTATGTATCAGCAATTTCTTCTTTATTTTTCTTCTACGTTGTTTTTGAAGCATTTAGCTCAAATCGACAAGTTAGCAATAAGTATATTTAAACCAACTGTTTAAATTTATAATAACAAAAAATTTTTGTTACTAAAAATACATATATATGAACAAACAAATACTAGTAGAAAATTTACGTTCCTTATCAAAAGTGTGTCCTATAGAAAAAATACAAGTGTTTAGCGACAATTTAATTTTAATTGTCAAACCAGATGTGTTGTTTGATGTCTTACTGTTTTTAAAAAATCACATATTATATCAATTTAAATTGTTATCATGTATTTCTGGAGTAGATTATCCTATGAACAAATATCGATTTCAGGTAGTTTATGAGTTATTAAGTGTTCGATACAACTTTCGACTAAGAGTTAAAACTTTTACTCACGAGTTACTAGGTATTGACTCTTGTGAAAAACTATATCCTGCAGCAGGTTGGTATGAATGTGAAATTTGGGATATGTATGGTGTTTTTTTCAAGAATCATTCGAATCTAAAGAGAATTCTGACCGACTATGGTTTTGAAGGATACCCATTACGAAAAGATTTCCCATTAAGTGGTTTTATTGAAATGCGTTATAATGAAATTGAAAAACGTGTTGTGAACGAGTCGTTAGAATTGTGTCAAGAATATAGAACATTTGCATTTCTGTCTCCATGGGAATCTCAAAAAAATTTTTAATTGGGACATAGCCAAGTGGTAAGGCCCTCGTTTTTGGTACGGGTATTCAAAGGTTCAAATCCTTTTGTCCCAAAAATTAAAAAAGTAATTAGCTCAATTGGTAGAGCGTCTCGCTTACAACGAGGATGTTGGTGGTTCGAGTCCATTATTACTTATAAAAAATTCAACAACAAAAAATGTATTTGCTTTTAGTATTTTTACCTTTAATAGGATCAATTACTGCCGGTATGTTTGGTAGAAAATTGGGTCCTAAAGGTTCATCTATAGTAACTGTTACGTTACTTTTTATAACTTTTTTAATTTCTGTATTTGCTTTTTACGAAGTTGCATTGGTAGGTTCACCCGTTTACATTAAGTTTGTCACTTGGATTAATTCCGAAATGTTAAATGTTGATTGGGGTTTTATGTTTGATACTTTAACGGTTACCATGTGTTGTGTGGTTACGTTTGTATCTACTCTTGTACACTTATATTCAACAGAATATATGTCTCATGATCCTCACTTACCTCGATTTATGTCATACTTGTCATTATTCACTTTTTTTATGCTTATTCTTGTAACAGCTGACAATTTCATTCAAATGTTCGTAGGATGGGAAGGTGTTGGTTTGTGTTCATACTTACTAATTAATTTTTGGTTCACCAGAATTCAAGCGAATAAAGCTGCTATCAAGGCTATGGTTTTAAACCGAATTGGTGATTTTGGCTTAGTTTTAGGTATATTAATTATTTTTGTTAAATACAAAGCTGTTGATTATGCAACAGTGTTTGCATTAACTCCTTTTTTTGTGGAAGATAGTTTTGTATTCTTGAATATGAGTTTTAACTTAATTGATATTATTGGGTTTTTACTTTTTATTGGTGCTATTGGTAAATCAGCACAATTAGGATTGCATACATGGTTACCCGACGCTATGGAAGGTCCAACACCGGTGTCAGCTCTAATTCACGCAGCGACAATGGTAACTGCGGGTGTATTTTTAATTGCGCGAAGTTCACCTATTTATGAGTATACACCAAATATGTTAAAAATAATCACTGTTCTTGGTGCATGTACTGCGTTTTTTGCTGCAACTGTAGGTTTAATGCAAAATGATTTAAAACGAGTAATTGCATATTCTACGTGTAGTCAGTTAGGTTACATGGTTTTTGCATGTGGTTTATCGAATTATTCTGTTGGAGTATTTCATTTAGTAAATCACGCTTTTTTTAAAGCGTTACTTTTCTTAGGTGCTGGATCTGTTATCCACGCCGTTGCTGATGAGCAAGATATGCGAAAAATGGGAGGGTTAAAAAATTTAGTGCCATTTACATATTCTATGATGACAATTGGTTCTTTAGCTCTAATAGGATTCCCATTTTTAACAGGTTTCTACTCAAAAGATGTTATTCTAGAGGTTGCGTATGGTAAATACACAACAGAAGGCCATTTTAGCTATATTCTAGGTTCAGTTGGTGCTTTTTTAACAGCTTTTTATTCGACACGACTTGTTTATTTAACGTTCCTTTCAAAACCAAATGGTTATAAATCTGTAATTTGTGCTGCTTATGATTCGTCTTATCAAATATGTATTGCATTAGCTATTTTATCCATTCCAAGTATGTTTATTGGTTATTATAGTAAAGATATGATTATTGGTTTGGGTACTGATTTCTGGGGAAATGCTCTATATGTCTTACCTGAAAATATGAATATGATTGATGCTGAGTTTATTGAGCACACCTATAAAGTACTGCCTGTTATTTTAAGTTTGTGTGGTGCTACAAGCTCTTTTTTACTTTATACTTTTGGAAGTAAACTTTTATTTCGATTTAAGGTTTCATTTTTAGGAAAAAAGATTTATAACTTTTTAAACAAAAAGTGGTTTTTCGATAAAGTTTATAACGAATATGTAGGTCAATTTTTCTTCAAATTTGGTTACAACGTAAGTTACAAAATTATTGATCGAGGAATTATTGAAATGTTTGGCCCAATGGGTCTTTCAAAGGCTATTTCAACAAAAGCTAAATCTGTAAGCAGTCTTCAAACAAATTATCTGTATCATGCTACGTTATTGGTGCTTATTGGTAGTACTATTCTGTTAGGTGCACGGCAATATTGGTTAGTTTTCGGAGAATTTACAGATTATCGATTGTTTATTTTATTTTTCATTTCAGGTTTTTACTTAAAAACTTCTTGGAAAAAGTAAAATTTACAATTATAGTAAATAGCAAATCTTAGCATTTTTAGCTCAGTTGGATAGAGCAACAGCCTTCTAAGCTGCCGGTCATAGGTTCGAATCCTGTAAAATGTGAAATGCTGTTTATTTTTTTTCAAACACGTATAAATGAAATTTATTAAATTATTTATCAATAAATTTAAGTTTGTAAGTGGTAAGAAAAATTTAACTGTTATTTCAAAAAATAACACATTTAAAAATGAACAATTTAAATATTTAAAAACTCGACACACATGGCATCTTGTTGATCCAAGCCCTTGGCCATTAGTTGCATCTTTAGGTGCTTTCTTTATGACATCGGGTGGTGTTGCATATATGCACAACTTTGCTGGAGGTGGAAGATTATGCTTCACAGGTTTTTTAACTGTATTATACGTTATGTATATTTGGTGGCGAGATATTATTCGAGAAGCTACTTTTGAAGAGCAACACACATTTTCTGTACAAAGAGGTCTACGACTAGGTATGATCTTATTCATTGTTTCAGAAGTAATGTTTTTCTTTGCTTTCTTCTGGGCATTCTTCCATTCAAGTTTATCTCCAACTTATAATATTGGTGGAGTATGGCCACCTGTTGCTATTGAAACAATTCAAACTTCAGGTCTTCCTTTAACAAACACCTTCCTTTTATTAAGTTCAGGTGCCACAGTTACTTGGGCACACCATGCTATTATTGTGCGTGCTAAAAAACAAGCAATTATTGGGTTAATTCTTACAATTATTCTAGCGACAGTTTTTACATTCTTCCAAGGTTTAGAATATTTAGATGCACCTTTCACAATTACAGATAGTGTTTTTGGATCTTGTTTTTACATGGCAACAGGTTTTCATGGTTTCCACGTTTTTGTAGGAACTATCTCTTTACTTGTTTCACTTATTCGAATTGTACTAAATCACTTTACATCGACACACCATTTTGGTTTTGAGTCTGCAGCTTGGTATTGGCATTTCGTTGATGTTGTTTGGTTATTCCTATTCATTACAGTGTACTGGTGGGGTGGAATTCACTAATTCTTTGTTCAAGAGCACCAAAATGATGGAATTGGTAGACATGCTAGGTTTAGGTTCTAGTTCTTTTTAGAGAGTAAGGGTTCAAGTCCCTTTTTTGGTAAATGGTTATTACATTTATAAAGGCTATACGATAGTAATTATTTAATTTATATGTGAAAACGTATGTTTGTTCGTTCTGAAATTTCTAGAACACTTGATCATAGTACTTGATTGTTTACTATAAGGATCTTTTCCACCAATATAAAAATCATTAATCCAAATTTTTAATTTGGTATTTGATAATTTAGATTTCGATCCGTTTAACGTTTTTAGTGGAACCACGTTGTAACCTGTTGAAGAATTTAAATAATCTGCTACTGTTTTAGATGTTAAATTGTTGGTTGCACATGTTAAAAAATCGTTAAAACTCTTAAATTTTTGAAAACTTTTACTGTTAAAACTTAATAAAGAATTATCTTTATAGTTGTTTGAAAAGTTAATTTTTTTAGAGTTTTCAAAAACTTTTCGTAAGATTTGCCAATCGTCTTTTGTTTGTTGGTTTGTCGGTATAATTCTAACACTTTTTTTAAAACAACCTTCACCATTAAGATATGTACCTTTTGTTTCAAAAAATGTACTATTTGGTAAATTAACGTAATTATATACATTATAAGCTGTACTACCAAGGTTAGCAGCATAAGGTAAAGATCCATTGTTTTGTTCAAAACAAAATCTAGGCAATGAGTCACTAGAGTCTAAATAATTTAACAGTTTTAAGTTTACAATTTTTTTTAAATTGGAACTTTGAGATGCTGTGTTTAAAAAATAAACACCACAGCTCGAATTTAAATCTGTTTCTGTAAAAGATTTAAAACTGTTCAAGTAATTAGCACCTGTTTCATTTAAGCTACTGTTAATTATATTCAAGTTGCTTGTATTAGACAGTGGGCTTAAACTTTTGTTACTAATAGTTTTTAGTAGTTTTTGTAAACTTTTACCATCTTTTCTTTGTAAAAGAGACGAGCTTGCAAAAATCATAGATTTTGATGAAGCAAGTTCTTGTGAAAAAAAGTGATTACCTTCTGCAATCGATTTTAGAGTGTCAATACTTAGTCCAACATTTGATACAGGAAAAGTCAAGTCAAGAGAAGAACCAATAGAAAAAACTTTAAAATTTCCTGCAAGAGCTCTTTTTCGTAACTTAACGTTTAGGCTTGAGCTCTCGTATCTCGAATTCAAACCTACAAGTAAGCAAACTGTTGACTTTTCTAAAGATTCTGTCATATCTTTACTACTGTTTGCTATGAAGTCAGATTCTAAGTCAACGTTTTGTGAACAGTTTTCCGATTTTCTTAATTTAACAAAAGAATATTTTTTAGAAAACATAGACAATAAGTTCAAAACTTCTAAACTTACGTTAGAATCGAATACAAAATATAAATTGTTTGTTGTCAAGAAGTGTTTATTTAAATGGTCTTGAAAATATAATGTTAACATAACTTCATTTAATAAAGTTTTCCAAGAGTTTAAAGTTTGTACTTCTTTTGTTCCAGACTTAACAAAGTTTGTTAATAGTCGTTCAGGAGAAAACATACCGTCAAAAGCAAATCTTGTTTTATCCGAAATCCAATTTGTAGTGTTACTACTTGGGTTATAACCTGGATTCACTTTTACAACTTTGTTGTTTTTTAAATAAACTTGTGTGTTTTCCGCGAATGCATCTGAAAAATCAATAGAGTTAACATGCTTTAATTCCCAACTTCGGCTTACAAACGGGTATGGTTTAGAAGTTAAAGCTCCTACTGGGCATAAGTCAATAATATTTCCAGAAAGTTCTGATTGGAAAGTTTTTGTAACGTAAGTTCCAATTTCGCTATCAAGCCCACGACCAAACATACCTAAATCTTCGGTACCAGCAACTTCTGCAGCAAATCGAACACATCGTGTACAATGTATACATCGAGTCATTACTGTTTTAACAATTGGACCAATGTTTTTGTCAGTAACAACACGTTTAAAGTTGTAAAATCTTTTTTTGGTAATACCAAAATAAAGTGATTGATCTTGTAAATCACACTCTCCACCTTGGTCACAAATAGGACAATCTAGTGGGTGATTTAATAGTAAAAACTCAAGTACGTTCTCTCGAGCTTTTTTAACAAGAGGGCTATTTGTAAAAACTTCACTATTGTTTAAACAAGATTTTGCACTCATAGCACACGAAACAATAGGTTTTGGTGAGTTTTTTAGTTCAACAAGACACATACGGCAGTTTCCTGAAATAGACAGATTTTTATGATAACAATAGTGAGGTATATTTACACCAATTGTTTCACAGTATTCAATTAAAGGAGCATTGTGTTTCCAGTAATCATTTTTGTGATTACTTTGAAATTCCAATACATAATTAAATTTTACGTTATTAATGTGAAAGTATTTTAAAGATTTCATTTTTATTTCATTTATGGGAATGTAGCTTAATTTGGTTAAAGCGTCGACCTGTCACGTCGAAGATTGCGGGTTCGAGTCCCGTCTTTCCCGAAAAAAACATAAAAAATTTAACTTTTAATGTTTTTAATTTTGTCCATTTGAATTGTTTGTTTTAACTTGTAGTATGCTGATAAAATCGCTAAACCAATTGCAGATTCAGTTGCCGCAATTGTAAGAATAAACAACACAAAAATATATCCTGTAATATCATCAAGATATACTGAAAAAATAACAAAGTTTAAGTTTACTGATAGTAACATTAATTCTACCGACATAATCGTAATTAAGATGTTTTTTCGGTTAAGGACAAGGCCTAAAGCCCCTATTAAGAACAGAATTATAATAATATTTAAAATATAACTTATATTTGTAGTAATCATCTATATTATTTTTGGGTACATTGGGGTTCGAACCCAAGACCTGTGGATTAAAAGTCCAATGCTCTACCACTGAGCTACGTACCCTTTACTTTTAACACGTTTAACTTGAAAGTTAAAATTATAGTGCGAAAAGAATTAAGAATCCCATCATTAAAGAGAATAAAGCAATAGCCTCTGTTAACGCGAATCCAAAAATAGCAAGTTTAAATAACTCGTCTTTTAGAGAAGGGTTTCGTGATACACCGATTACTAATGCACCGAATACTGTACCAATACCTACTCCAGCTCCTGCTAGTCCAATTGTTGCTAGACCAGCACCTACAAATTTAGCTGCTTGTAATAACATAAAATAATTTTAGTATTATTTATATTTGAAATGATAGATTAGTTCGGAAACTTCAAAGCAGCAATAAAATGTAAATTTAAAGTTTGTCATCAAATTTTAATAAATGTCTTATATGTGTTTTTTATTTTACTGAAAAACAGCAGTTTTAATCGGTAACTTAGCTCCACCAGTTCTAAAAGCTGCAATAGCTGTGTTTGTACTAACACCGCATAACTCAAACAGAACTCGGCCGCCACCGACTTTTACAGCCCAATGACTAACGGCACCTTTACCTTTACCCATTCGAACCTCAGTTGGTTTTGCTGTGATAGGTGTTGTTGGAAAAATTTGAATCCATAACTTACCTTTCCGTTTGATCTTTCGCATGATCGATTGTCGTGCTGCTTCAATTTGTCTTGCCGATATAGTACCGGATTCTAGAGCTTTTAATCCAATTGTTCCAAATCTAAGTTTTGTTGATCTGTACTCTAGTTTTGGAAGAGTCCCTTTTCGAACTTTTTTGTATTTTGATCTTTTCGGTTGTAAAAACATAACAATAATTTTTTTCTAGTTTTTTTCAGATATCCAAACTTTAACACCAAAAGTACCATTTGATGTATAAGATGTGTCTTCATAATAATCAATTGGAGAATCAAAAGACTGTAGCGGCACTTGGCCTATCTTTAAAATTTTTTTATTGGCTCTAGGTACTCCATTAAAACGTCCGCTGATAACAATTTTCACACCATTTACTTTTGAGATTTTTGATGTAATAAGTTCTTCTAAGACGTGCTTTAATAGAAAAAGAACGAATCCATGTCTTTTTTTTTGTTTTTCAAAATAAGACGATATAGCTTTCGCAAGTAGCTTTGCTGAATTTTTCTCACTTACTGAAATAAATAATACTTTGACTAACTCTTTAAATAGAGCAGTTTTTAAAAACCTTCTAAATCGTCTTAACAATACCTTGTATTCAAACGAGTTTGTTTTGGACTTGTTAATACGTATAGCAAATCTTTGATTTAAGTTTTGAACTTTTAAAACAACAGCAGAGTTTCTTAAAAAAAGATTTAAATTTAACACCACAATGTCATTTACAATGTGGTTTATTAATTCTTTGCTTGATTTAAAAAAAAGTTCTTGATTTTTGTTTTTTTCTCCGTAAAATTTACTAGTTTCGGTCTTTTTTTCAAAAAATGTAACTAACAATGTAGTTGTTTCTTGACCGTATTCGATTTTACAGTTGTGAATTAATAATCCAAAGTTTTTAAAAACTTGGTCTAAATAATTTCTAATTTCAATGTCTTGGTAAAGAAATAACGATGATTCTTCTTTATTTTTTTCTATGTATTTAGATTTCCACTCGGCGTTTTTTAAACTTAAGTTAAAAATAGTTGGATTTGTTTTTTGACCCATTGAATTTTTTAAATAGCTTATTTAGCTTTCTTTTTTTTAAATGAAAATCGTTTTCGCGTAGGTGCAAATTCACCAAGTTTGTGACCGACCATGGGCTCAGTAATTTTAATTTTTGAAAACCCATGACCATTGTGGACATTAATAGTTAACCCAATAAACTTAGGAACGATTGTAGACTCTCTTGATTGAGTATATATTTCTTTTGTTGTACCATTACACTCTTGTAATAATTGATTGCTTACAAAAGGACTTTTCCATTTAGCTCTACTCATTTACTTTATTTTTTAAGATTTTTTAACAATAATGTATTTATTTGTGGATCTACTAGTTTTACCACCTTTTGTAGGTTTTCCCCAAGGTGTAACAGAAGATCGTCCTCCAGAAGTTTTACCTTCTCCACCACCATGTGGGTGGTCTATAGGGTTCATAGCAACACCACGAACGTGTGGGCGTTTATTTAACCATCGAGACCGACCCGCTTTACCCAATGTCGTTAAAAATGAAAATTCATTTGACACAACACCAATTGTTGCATAGCAGTCTACTGAAACATTTCTGTGTTCCCCAGAACTTAATCTGATTCTCACGTAATTAGAACCTTTCTCAATCAATTGAGAAAATGTACCAGCTGCTCTACTTAATTGCGCAGGTTTACGTTTTTTAACAGAAATGTTGTGAATTAAACTTCCAACAGGAATTTTCGCCAGAGGCAATGAATGACCATTTTTGGCTTCTGCGTTTTGACCTGCTTTAACAATATCACCGATTTGTAGCCCCTTAGGTGCTAAAATATAATCATATTTTTTAGTGTTTATATCAAAAATAGATGCAATATTTGCGCTTCGATAAGGATCGTATTCTAAGCTTGTAACAATACCTGTTTTATCGTTTACACGGTAAAAGTTAATTTCACGATACTTTTTTTTGTGACCACCACCTCGGTGCCACGCGGTTATTTGGCCGTTAAGCCCTATACCTGTTTTATTTTTTGTACCTTTTATTTTATTTTTAAGCAAAGGTTTTTTTTTCAAACCTGATTTATTTAGTTGAACCAAATTTCGTTGTGATGGTGTTGTTGGTTTAAAAGTTTTAAGTTTCATTTTAGCAATAAATTATTTTAAATTATGATTTTATCAAAAATAGTAAAAACAAGTAACGATTCACCAAAAGGTAGCGTTTCCCATTTAAAAAAGTTACTTCGGTTATCCGAACTTTTAAACAAATTAAAATCGGCAAAATTAGCCCACACTATTATAAAAAAAGAAGAATTGAATAGTGTTTATCGAAAGTTTAATGCAATTAAAAACACAGAAAACTCTAGACGTTCACAAAAAGGCACTCCTTTAATTAACTATATCATAAACGTAACATTATCGCAAACAAATACAATTGTTAGCGTAACAGACGTCGCAGGAAATCCTAAAATTTCAATTTCTGCAGGTTTAGTTAATTTAGCAAAACGACAGAAAAAAAAACAGCCAATGGCTTTGGTTAATATTTTTAAAGTTTTACTATTAAAAGTTGGTTTTTTAAGAAATGCACCTGTGGCTATTCACTTTAAGAATACCAAAGCGTTTTATCAATCATTTTTAATAAAAGCGTTAAAAGATAAGCTTTTTATAAAATCTATTCAAAGTTACAACTTGTCACCACACAATGGGTGTCGTCCAAAAAAATTAAAACGAATTAAGCGTAGAACTAAACGAATGGTGCTACGATAGTTGTTAAACATATAAGAAAGAATGACTGAGCGGTTTAAAGTGGCAGATTGTAAATCTGTTGGGTACTCCCATCGTAGGTTCGAATCCTACTTCTTTCAAAGAGTTTTTCGAAATATAACGCAGTCTGGTAGCGTGCCTGTTTTGGGAACAGGAAGTCATGTGTTCGAATCACATTATTTCGATTCTTTTTTTTTAAGTTTTTGATACGGAAACTTTAACAGTCTTTTTAATGAGTTATTAAAAACTCTTACATTTTGACTGTAGTTCAGGCTAAAAATCTTCAAAATTTGACTTTCAGAGTAAATTTTGTTATTGAGTTTTACGCCTAAGAAAGTTAACGTAGGGTCTAACTTAATAATTTCCTGAAGTAATGCAGGCATATTTTTTGGGTCTTTTAAGTGTATTAAACAAACATTACCATTTAACATGGAGCTAATATTTTTAAAGATAGAATTCTCTAAAGACTTTTTTGACAAACTGTTTGAAATTTTTACACATTTCATATCATATTTGTGAAGTGTTTGTTCCACTTTTAACCAGTTTTTCGAATTTGTATTCGACACATTAAATACAAACACTAAAGGTTCTTTTTTAAAACAAGTTACGATTTTTTGTAATTTATAATCTTTTAATCCAAATTTCATTTTTTAATTTAATATTTTTTTTCTAATTAATAGGCTTGGCAGGATTTGAACCTGCGACTAAACCGTTATGAGCGGTACGTTCTACCACTGAACTACAAGCCTCACGTAAACTTATTTATAAAAAAACGATAAATAATAAACATAAACCGCAGTCAATGGGAAATTTTAGTTTTGGTCAACTACTTATACTATTTTTATTAGTTTTGTTAATGTTTGGTGATTTTTCTAAAATATTAACTAATATCAAACGTATTTTTACCACTCGAAAGTCTCGAGTTACGAAAAAAAAAACAGGAAAAAAGGGAGTTGAACCCCTGACCTTTGGTTTTGGAAACCACTGTTCTACCAACTGAACTATTCTCCTTAAAAAATTTAAAAATGTTTAGTAAATACTTTTATGAAATTCGAAATAGAGTTTCATTAACAATATTGTGTTGGAGCTTGTGTGCAATGAGCTCGTATTTGAACAAAGAAACACTATTATATCTATTAATTCAACCATGCGAATTTTTGTTTAAAGAAAAGACTCTTTATTTTATCGCTACGAACTTAACAGATATTTTTTCTGTCTACTTAGCGTTAAGTTACTTTGTCGCGTTTCAATTAACTTTTGCTGTAGGTGTCTATCATATAAAAACTTTTTTGACTCCAGGACTATACAGAAAAGAACTTAAATACTTAAATTTGACCTCGTTAATATGCTTCTTTTTCTGGAGTTTGAGTTTTGTCCTCTTAAACAAAGCAATTTTGCCTTTTTGCTGGTCTTTCTTTTTAAGTTTTCAACACGCATCGCAACAATCTATTTCCATTTTTTTTGAAATGAAGATCACGGAATATTTTACTTTTTATACCACGACTTATTACGTAACAGCGTTCGTGGGCCAACTTTTTGTTGCGACCTTTTTGACGTTGAGTTTTTTAACAAGAAGAACTCAGTTTATCCAGAAAAGTCGTCGTTTATTTTTCATAGGTTTTTTTTTAATTGCAACCTTAATAACGCCCCCGGATGTTATCAGTCAGCTCTTACTCGGTACTATTTTTTGTTTTCTTTACGAGCTAATTATAGTTATTGTAATTTTAAATGATCTAAAACTAGTTAGGTAACCAGTTAAAACTTGTAAGCACTCCAACTGTGAAAAGCAAATACCCTAGTGATAAAGGTAAAAAAGATTTCCAGCCGATATGCATTAACTGATCATATCGGTATCTTGGTAACGCAGCTCTTGTTAAAATAAAAAAAAGAACTCCAATTATTATTTTAATCGAAAGCCAAAAACTTCCAGGTAAAATGTTTAACGGTAATACATCAAACAACGGTAACCATCCTCCTAAGAAAAGAAGTGACGAAAATGTGCTCATTAAAAGCATGTTTGCGTATTCTCCTAAAAAGAATAAAGCAAAAGTCATAGCAGAATATTCTACATTGTAACCTGAAACAAGTTCCGCTTCTGCTTCTGGAAGATCAAAAGGATGGCGATTTGTTTCTGCCAACATTGAAATATAAAACAAAATAAACATTGGAAACAATGGGATTATAAACCAAACTTTTTCTTGAGCTAGAACTATTTGTGTTAGGTTGAAAGATCCAACACAAACACAAATATTTACAATAATAAACCCAATAGAGACTTCATAAGAAATCATTTGAGCCGCGGATCGAAGTGATCCTAAGAAAGGGTACTTAGAGTTACTAGACCAACCTGCCATCACAATACCATACACACTTAGTGATGAAATTGCAAACAGGTAAAGTACACCTAAATTCATATCTGAGATAACTATACTCTCAGATAAAGGAATAACAGCCCATCCAATTAGACTAAGGACAAATGTTAAAATTGGAGCCAACAAAAAAACATAAATATTAGAGTTACTTGGTAAGATAGTTTCTTTTACAAACAGCTTTAATCCATCAGCAAGCGGTTGCAGTAGACCTACAAAACCGATAACGTTTGGACCTCTCCGTCGCTGAATACTACCCATAAATTTTCGCTCTGCAATTGTGAAATATGCTACAGAAATTAATAGTGGAACCACTATTGCAAGAATTTTCAGAATAATACAAATTATTGTCATCATATATAATTTTATTAGGTTAAAATCGGACTTGAACCGATATTACAAGATTTGCAATCTAATACATTACCAATTATGTTATTTAACCGTAAAAGCTTTTTAATTGATAAAAGGATAAGGAGGGATTCGAACCCACGGTATTTTTCAATACAATAGTTTTCAAAACTAACGCCTTAAACCACTCGACCACTTATCCTAATTTGAAACTTATTCAGCAAAAGAAGGGATTTGAACCCTCAGCTTTAACCTTGGCAAGGTTACACTCTACCAATTGAGTTACATTTGCTTAAACGTTCAGCTTATATGCTTTCAGTAAATACACGTAATCATCAAAATCATTTGCTGTTGTTATTAAGCTTATATCTAATCTACTTAAATTTTTAAAGAATTGATAATTACTTTCCAAATGACTAAATAATAAAACGTTCTGAATCTTAAATGAGATCATCTTGTTTTTAAAGTCAGCCTTTTTTTTTACATTCTTTTTTTTTGTTGAAATATTGCTATATAGATTTGTTATAAAAGAAAATAAAGTATTTTTACGAATAGTTACTTTGCAACCAATAGGTTGTCCCTTTCTGAGTTTTAAAGTCACATTTGGTACTTTTGATTTTATAAGAACTCCCTTTTGCGAAGTAATCAATTCCAAAGCTGCTAATGCTGCTATTAAATGTTTCATATCGTTGTGTTTTAATCTGAAACGCAAAACAGCTGATGTTATTTTTGGAATTTTTTTTATAGCTTTGTATCGAAATTTGTTTATCAAATCGTATTTTACGATATTATAGTTGTAATGATTGAAAAAATGCATTGAAAACTAGTTTTTATTAAAGAGTTCCTAACGAAATGTTTGCAAATTTAGAATATTTTCCTTTTCTTAGTTTTTTTGGTACAGGGCTTATAATACGGCTCGCTAAAGGTTTACCTTGAGTATTCATAAGACTTACGGAGTTACTCTGAAAAAAAAGAGAAGAACCGTCTTTATTAATCTGTTTTGATTTTGTTTTAATTATCAAAGCTTTGTGAACAGTTCCTTTTTTTACTTTTGAAGTTTTACGAGATCTGTTACGTAGTTCTTGAACAGATACCACAATAACATTACCAAGTTTGGCAACGCGCTTTTTAAAACCACCAAGAACTTTTATACATTTCACAGTTTTCGCTCCTGAATTATCTGCAACTTTTAATATTGTTTGTTGTTGAATCATAGTATTAAATATTAATTAGAATGATAGCGCTTATAGCTCAATTGGATAGAGCGTCGGGTTTCGGTTCCGAAGGTTATAGGTTCGAGTCCTTTTAAGCGTAATTTAGTTTAGATTAAAACCATCGAAAATTCGAGAACTTTCGTTTAGAAAACCCATCTTTGTGTAAGTCGATTTTTTGTTTATAACTCATTCCAACTTTTTTTGATGAATTAATCAACTCTGAGTTTAAGCTTTTGAAGAACGGGCCTGTCTTTTTTTTTGAACTGTTTGATACTAAAAACTTAATAGCGTACGAAACTTTTAATTTTGAATTCAGTAAGAAAGGAAACTCAATTGTTCTTTTTCGTTTTCGTTTAATATTCTTCACATAAATTAAAGGTGCACTATTTATTAACGAGAATTTTAAAATAGATTCGAAATCTTTTTTTGATTCTGTTTTTTGAATAGTTTTTAGTGTTTTAACAAAAATTTTCTCCGATATTCTTTTATTACCATTAACCATTATTCGGTTAAATATATTTTGTTTTAAACTTTTTTTTTTAATCATAAATAGTTTGATATTTTCTTAGTACCATATTTAGATCTTGATGTTTTTCTGGATTTTAATCCAGAAAAATCAAGCTTACCTCTAACCATGTGGTATTTGATACCTGGTAGATCCTTAACTCGACCACCTCTAATTAGCACAGTAGAGTATTCTTGTAAATTATGCCCTTCACCAGGAATGTACGCAGCTACTCGTTTTCCATTTGTTAAACGTAGGTTTGCAAGCTTTCGTAGTGCGGAGTTAGGTTTCTTAGGTGTTCTTAAAAATATTTTGGTACAAACGCCTTTTTTTTGTGGATTCATATCAAGAGCAGGTGCTTTGTTTCGTCGTTTCTTAATAGGTCTTTTTTTTTTACATAATTGATTTATTGTTGGCATTTATATATTTAAAAATTAAATAATAAAAATAAGAATAAATAAAAGTTAACTTGACGCAAGATTCTTGAAAAAAATTATTATTAAAATTGTTAACAATCAAAACATTGTTTATAAAAGTTACAATAGAAAAGATACTGCAAACAGAAATAACGCCAGTTTTAAACAGTATTGTTTTATATACTAGCTTTGTTTGGTTGCAGAGTGATAAAAAAAATCCATTTAAAAAAAATGTAACTAAGCAAAACATAAAATTAAAAATGAGCAGAACAACGGAGATCGGTTTGAGTAAAAAACACACATCAAATAGATTAAAAGAGTTTAATGTTTTTAAAAACAGAACGTACAAAATAAAAGTATAATAGATTAAAATAAACAATATTGTTTTATCAGAATATTTTATCTTAGTTTTTACAAAGTAAAATAAAAAGTATACAAGCAAAAACAAAGTAGAACCTGTTAACAAAAACTCTGCGAATGTTAATAAATGTGACCAAATTATAATATTACGAACTACAATTAGAAAATTCTTTATTAATTTACGAAAATCAGCGTTAATTAAAAAAAATTTTCCTGCGTTTATTTCATAATCCTCAAAAAGATGTTCTAAAAAAAACCATCCAAACAGTCGATTTACAATATCTAGATTTAATGGATCTGCAACACCTTGAAAAAAAACAAAGAAACAAAGAACACTCATTAGTTTTCCTGCAAATAAAAACCACATATAAATGAATTTGTTTATTAATTACTCGTTACCGGACTTGAACCGATACTCTTTAAAAGAACCAGATTTTAAGTCTGACGTGTCTACCAATTCCACCAAACGAGCAAAGTATTAATGATTACGTTTATATTTTTTTACTTATTCCACAATTTGATCTTTTAACTTTAGGTGCTCAACTATTTGGACTATTAATTAGTCTGTATTTTTTCTACTATTATTCAATTTCTACAAGTATCGCTAATTTTATTGAAATTAAAAAACTTCGAACAAAGAAGCTTTTAAAAAACTCAAATTTAGTGGCTACAGTAGATAAAGATTTAGAATACAATCTATGGTTAATTAGCTATAGCTACACAAAATTTATCAAGTAGGAATTTACTTGGGGGTATAACTCAATTGGTAGAGTGTGTGCTTTGCAAGCACAAAGTTATCGGTTCGAGCCCGATTACTTCCAACAAATTAAATTATTACGCAAAAAATCTCTTCAGGCTGGATTTGAACCAACGTCCAAGTGGTTAACAGCCACTTGCTCTACCGCTGAGCTACTGAAGAAAAGTATTAATTATTAGTAACATATGTCCTAGTTATTGTAAGACTCCATAACATTGTTAAAGTTCAACCACATAGGGAAAGTGTCAGAAGTATTAAATAGTTTCGAATCATCTATTATTATTATTTGAAAAGTTTTATAACTTATTTGATGATTTTTAGGTGGTAATGGCCAAAACGGTGAATTTAAAACAAAATACTTAATCAATTTGTGGCTTTTTGGTGAAAAAGTAATAACGTCCCCTTTTTTTACTAAAATTGAGGCATCGTTAACAATTTCTCCATTTAAAAATACATGGCCGTGAGATATTAACTGTTTTGCATTCATAATGCTTAAAACAAAGTGAGATCGAAGTAAAGTACTGTCAAGTCGTCTTTCTAAAGCATCTTTAAAAAAAAGTTTCGAATTAATTTTGTTTTGCACTTTGTTTGACGCAGCCTTTGATTTAAAAACATTTCTCTTTAAATATTTTTCTTCAAGGTTGCCGTAAAAAAGATTGAAACTTCTTTTATTTAAAAGGTTTTGCTTATAATTTTTAGAAAAAAAATTGTTGTATTTTGGTGTAACGTACACATTTTGATCGTAAAATTTGTAATAACAATTATTTTTACGAGTTTTAGATATTTTTGCAAGTTGTGCTAACAAAAATTGCCATTTTCGCTTTTTAAAATTTAAAAGTTTTGATCGGTTTTGAACGTTTTTCTTCAATGCCACAAACTTTTTATAAACCGGTTTGTATCTATATTTTTTTTTATGTATCATAAAACTTAAGTATTATATTTTTTTTAAGATAGAATATATTAAAAAAGAACACATTTGCTTCAGAGGTTTCTTGTAGAAATATGCAGGAATTTCATTCACGATATTTGCAGATTTAAAATTAGTATTAGATCCAAAAATAAGTACAGGACATCCTACGGAACAAACTTCCTTTAAGATGTTTAAGTCTTTAGATGTCACGTTAAAAAGGACTACCAAATCTGGGTCATTTGTTAAATTTAAACTTCTAACAACGTGAGTTTTGTTCTTTTTTTCGTCAATTTTGGCATTTTTGTTACCAAAAATACCTGGTATCCACATTGATTTTGGAATGAAAGCATGTTTTGTTGTTCGTGCTAACAAGTTCTTTTTAGTATAAGGAAAACCTATAAATAAAATTCTTTTATTATTAAAATGATATAAATGAATTAAATTTAAGGCTTGTTTTATACGAAGTTGTAAATTATCAATCAATTTGAAATTTGCATCTTTTTTTAAACTATTCTTATACGCTTGGTACTTTATTAAGTGAAATTTTAATAAAGTGTGTTTTTTAACAATAAATTTTTTTAATTTCATTTAAACTTTTTTCCCTTCTTTTAATTTAATCACTTCATCGCTGTAAGAAATACCTTTTCCTTTGTAAGGTTCTGGTACTTTACAATTTCGAATTTGTGCAGCTGTTTGGGTTACTTGTTTCCAACTTGAACCAAAGACAAACAGTTTGTCAGATTTGTGACATTTAATATCAATAGACTCGGGAATTTTAAAATATACACCGTGACTGTAGCCAAGTTTTAAATGAATCAAATCATGCTGTTCTGTTTTAGTTAATAACGCTTTAAAACCTACCCCAACCAGATTTAGTTTCTTACAAACAGTAGTTGATACATCTAGAAAAGATTGTTTTAAAAGCGCGACGGTTGTACCACAAAGATTTTTTGATGCTTTTTTTTAATATTTAAACTTAAAACTCTTATAAGATTTTGTTTATGACATATTTCAACATGAACTTTCAAGTTTAAAAGTTTTTTGCCTAAAGGGCCGTTTATTAATACAATTTGTCGTTCCGAACAGTGAAAGACTTCAATATTGTTTGGTATTTTAACGGTATAACGATTTGAAAATTGTTTCATTTTATTTAACTATAAACAAAGGTTCGCCTCCCAACTTATGTTTCTTACAATCATTAACTGACATCAGACCTTTATTTGTTGAAATAACTAAAAGGCCTTCACTTGAGTCTAACTTCCAAAGTTGTTTTAAAGAATAGTACACACGTAAACTTGGTTTGCTTAGCGCTTTCATCAAATTTACTGCAGGTTTACCATTTTTATATTTTAAAAATATTTTTAATATATTTGGATTTGTTTTAGAGATTTTATAACCTGAAATGTAACCTTCATCCCACAAAATGTTTAAAACAGATTCACATATTTTTTTTCGTCTTTGAAGGATATAAGCTTTTTTTACCAATTGACCGTTATTGATACTTGCAATCATATTAAATAAGTGGTTTTTCATTCTTAATTAATTTGTTTTGTTTAGAGACAGATTTGAACTGCCGTCACAAGGATTTTCAGTCCTTTGCTCTAACCAACTGAGCTATCCAAACATGTAGTTTTAATTTTTTAAAAGTAAATGGCCGTAATTATTAAAAATTTTTAAATAATTGTTTAAACTTTCAGTATTTCGAAGAACTGAAAAATTATCAGGATTAATTTTATTTTTTAATATTTGTTTATGTTTTTGAGGCTGGTTTACAACTTCTATTTTAAACGTTAAATCAGTAAAATGATTTTGTTTTAATGTTTTAAGGAAAACCAAAAACAAAAAAGGTTTATAAGAATATATCTTAAATTTTTTTGAATAGAAATTTTGTTCAAAATGTTCTTGAGCTGTTTTATTTACATGTGGTGATTTTAAAACAGTGAAAATTTTATTTTTTCTTTCAACAGAGTACGTTGAATTTGTTACACTTAGTAATTTTAATAAAGATTTTTTTGAAATAGTCTTTACAAAATTTTGTAACGATTTGTAATTTTTAGTACAAATATGTATGTTAAAAAGCATAATTTTTATTAGTGTATTTAAATTAGTGAGATAACTGAATACTATCGTTTAAGTAAATACAAGTTAAAACTGTAAATACGTATGCTTGGATCATCGCAACGCCAAGTTCTAAACCCATTAATATCACAAGAACTAATAGTGGAATTAAGTGTAGTACAGACATAAAATCTTCTAGTAATAGCATACTCCATGCAAAACCTACAATTACTTTTAGAAGTGTGTGTCCAGCCATTAAGTTTGCAAATAACCGCACACCTAAACTAATAGGCTTAAAGATGTAAGAGATAAGCTCAATTGGAACTAAAAGTAAACCTAATCCAATTGAAGTGTTTGCTGGTAGAAACACAGATAACATATGAATTTTGTGTTTTTGTACACCGATGATAACACAACCAATAAAAATAGGAAAAGATAATGCAAATGTCACAATTAAATGGCTTGTAATTGTAAAGCTGTATGGCACTAAACCAATTAAGTTGTTAAACAAAATAAAAGTAAAAATAACAGCAATAAAAGGGAAATATTTTTCACCTTCTTCATTTAAATTGTCAAAAGCTAGTTGTGCAGCTGTTTCGTACACAGTTTCAACAAAAGTTTGCCATGTATTTGGTACGAAAAAATAGCTTGTTTCTCCTAAATAGTCTGTATCAGCACTAAAGAAGTAAACCATTGAACTAAAAATTGCTAAAACAATTAAATTAATAAATAACATATTAGTCAATGAAAAATCTAAACAAAATAACTTAAAAGAAAAAATAGAAATAATTTGAAATTGTTCTAATGGAGTAAATAACATGTATATGTAAATAGTAATTAGTTTGTTTTATGGTGTGCTAGTTTTGTTTCAATTATACCAATAACTGGAATTAATACTAAAAAGAATAAAAAGTAAAAAACTGTAGCAACTTGACCAACAATTACGTAAACATCTTTCACAGGTTTTTGACCAACCCATCCTAAAACTAGGAAGTCAGCAACAAGTAACCAGTAGAAAATTTTAAAAATAGGTCGGAATGTTGTACTTCGAACTTCTGAAGTATTTGTAAATGGAATTAAGAATAAAATAACTAAAGCACCACCCATAGCAACAACACCACCTAATTTATCAGGAATTGATCGTAGAATTGCATAGAAAGGTAAAAAATACCACTCAGGTACAATATGCGCTGGTGTTTGCATAGGATCTGCTGGAATATAATTATCTGGGTGACCTAACGCATTTGGAAAATAGAAAACAAAAGTAGCAAAGAATAGTAAAAAGCAAAAAAATGCAAATAAATCTTTAACAAAGAAATATGGATAGAAAGGCACTTTATCTACACCACTGTCTACACCTAGTGGATTGTTAGATCCGTCTTTGTGTAATAAAGCTAAGTGTAATACAGTTAAACCAGCAATTACAAACGGTAATAAAAAGTGTAAACTGAAAAACCGATTTAAAGTTGCGTTGTTTACTGTGAAACCACCCCATAACCAATCAACAATCGATTGACCTACTACAGGTACAGCTGTTACTAAACTAGTAATTACTGTTGCACCCCAAAAACTCATTTGGCCCCAAGGTAATACATAACCCATAAAAGCTGTTCCCATCATTAAGATAAAGATTAAAACCCCAGAACACCATAGTAGTTGTCGTGGTTGCATGTAAGAACCGTAGTATAATCCTCGAAAAATATGACTATATACAACAATGAAAAACATTGATGCTCCATTTGCATGAATATATCGAATTAACCATCCGTTATTAACATCTCTCATAATGTGTTCAACACTACTAAACGCTAAATCAATATGAGGAGTATAATGCATAGCTAAAAATACACCCGATAAGATTTGAATAACTAAACAAATACCTGCCGATGATCCAAAACTCCAAGCATATGTTAAGTTAATTGGTGTTGGATAATGGATAATGTGATTGTCAACAAACGATAAAACATAGTTTTTATTCCATCGTAATGTTTTAGTTACAAATGACGCCATGAAACTTGAATTGTTCGAACTTTGAAAAGCTGAAGATGAGTTTGAAAAAGTATCAAACACTGAATTTTTTAATTTATAAGTTGATTTCATATATATAACTATTAAAAACGTCGTTGACGTTTCGCTGATTTTGCATTTGTGTGTGTTCGTTGGCCTCGCACGGGTAGACCTACAATACGTCTAAGA